CCCAGAGTCTCCATGTCCCCATGTCTCCCCCAGTGTCTCAGTGTCCCCATGTCTCTCCCAGTGTCTCAGTGTTCCCATGTCTCACAGTGTCCCAATGTCTCTAAGTGTTCCTTAGTGTCCTAGTGACATCGGGACACTGGGAGACATGGGGACACAGACTCTAAGGGACACTGGGAGACATGGGGATACAAACACTAGGGGACAGTGGGCGACATGGGGACACTGAGACACTAGGGGACACAGAGCATGGGGACACTGGGGGACACAGGGAGACATGGGGACACTGGGCAACTTTGAGACCTGGGAGACATGGGGCACTTTTCCATGACTTTCCCTATGTCTCCCAGCCAGTGTCCCTAGTATCTCCCAGTATCCCCATGTCTCCCAGTGTCCCTGGTGTCACTCAATGTCTGTAGTGTGCCAGTGTCCCTAGTGTCTCAGTGTTTCCTAGTCTCCCAAAGTCCCCTAGTCTCCCAAAGTCCCCTAGTTTCACAGTGTCCCAATGTCTCCTAGTGTCTCAGTGTCCCCTAGTATAAAAAAATCTCAGCCGAACACTGTAATAGATTTAAGCAGGTTTATTGGACACCGCAACGTTTTGACCAGTACCCAGGTCTTTATCAAGTCTCCAGTGTCCCCTATGTATCAGAGTGTCTCAGTGCCCCATCTCTCCCAGTGTCCCCGGTGTCTCTCAGTGTCCATAGTGTCTCAGTGTCCTTAGTGTCTCAGTGTCCCCTAGTCTCTCAGAATCCCCTAGTCTCCCAGTGTCCCCATGTCTCACAGTGCCCCCAAGTGTCTCAGTGTCCCCTAGTATAAAAGACTGTCCCCTATATATCACAGTGTCCCCTATGTATCACATTGTCTCAGTGCCCCATGTCTCCCAGTGTCCCCTCATGTCTCAGTCACCCAGTGTCCCCATGTCTCCCAGTGTCCCCTAGAGTCTTTGTCCCCAGGTCTCCCAGTGTCCCAATGTCTCTCAGTGTCCCCTAGTGACACGGGGACACTGGCATACATGGGGACACAGACACCATATAGGCTGGGAGACATGGGGAAACAGAAATGCCCCCTTTTTGTGTATGTTCGTCCCTTTTGGCAATTCTGGTTATGTGATTTGTGTCAGTGGCCCACCCTTTTACCCCATCCATAGACTTCCTGCTTTACTGGACACTGCTGTTAGGGGGTATTGGTTTACTTGAAAGTGTGAGATTAGCATAGGGTATGTGTTTTCTCATAGCTGCATCCTATGAGTTTCCCTCCAGCACCATCTCTATCAGATACATGACGCTTAGGAGGTAGGATTGTTTTAGGGTTTTTGGTCAATAAGATTTTGTAATTAGGCCCATCATAATTGTCAGCACCAGGCCCACTGGGCTCTTAATCTGGCCCTGCTTTAAGGTTACAGTTCAGGCTTAAGCAGACCTTAACTGTTTAAGGCATTATATAGATAATGTTTAAAGCTGTATCTAAAAATATCAACTAAAAATATATAGCATGTGCACTCCACAAATAATAATAATTAGAGGAAACAAAAGAATGTTCCTATAAAATATAAAAAAAAATACCTTTAATAAAAAATACAAGCTAAAACAATGAAAAACAATTACCCTAGATGTAATTAATAACTCTTAGGTGGGACATATAACACAATAAATAAACTATGTATCCAATTCTAGCATTGGTTCATAACATAAAATCCATACAGTTAAAGTTCCTGTAGTTGCTGCAAATCCACATGAATTTGCATCCTCCTCCAATGAGCATATATATATATATATATGTTTAAATATGCAAACTTGATACTAATCACAGAGCATATTTAAAATGCTCTAACTAAATATATTTACACATAATAAAATACTCTAAATAAATAAATTCATACTTTTCCATGACTTTCTATATCTGGCTATTGCCTGTTTTAGGTTTTCTCTCATTTTGTTATCATGTATTTAGAAATTTAACCTGAAGGTCACCTAGCTAGGGTATCTTATTAGATACAGGGATATTCAATACAAATGTGAATTGCCAGGAAGTCAATGTAAATATAATATTTTTGCCTGAAATAGCCACATTGAAAACCTTGTTTTCCAATTCAACTATTATAGCCTAAAAAATTGGATAATAGTTAGGGCATGTTGCCTTACTTAGTATATTCCATAAATGGGACACAGCATGTTATAATAATTAGATTCACCATTTTGTTACTGCATATGAATGAATTATAGGCTAAAACAATTTAGGATTCTAAGAAAGCTATGAAGATAGCTACATAGAATGTCCTTTTAAGTAGATCTCAAATATTTTACAGAAATATCCAAAGAGCAGAAATGAGTTTTATCCTCAAAGTTCTGTTCTCAGAAATTGTACAGTTAGTTTTTAGCCTTGAATTGCATAATTATATGTTGTATTGTACAGTTCAGCAGGGTTGATTGAGGGAGGTATAGGTAGAACGTTTGTACAAATACTTCTAAAATAATTTGCGCTTAGATTGCACAGGAAACAATTATGGTTCTTTTTAGAGTTCTAAAATGTATTTAAAGAAGACAACTCACTTTTAAAATGGAATTACTGCTCTTGTGGTTACAATTGTGAAAGTATCAGTTTGAAATTATGTCATTTTTAAATTCAGCTGCATATTATACTGTTAATATTAAAAATCGTATCTGTGGTTAGACATGTTTTTTATTGCTCTTGAGATATATATTACAATATATGCAATAATAGCGCATTGTCATTTTTTGTGCGCACTGTAGTTTTTTTTCCCCTCGTTTGTTAATTGCCCTTAAAAAAAATAATAAAAAAATCTCTGATTATACTAATGGTTTTGACAGTAAGATGTTAAAATGTATTGTTTATGTTAGATTTAACCATTTTTGCCCACTAAACCTATCTCAAAGGAATAATATCATATTTGTGTGTGTGTATATATATATATGTATGTTACCGCTAAAGCTCGAAAGCCGTTAACATGCACATTACCTAGCTAATCTGCAGATTAACTGATTTGCTCCGTTGATGTGCGGAATCAAAGAGTTTTCCGCATTTTACCTAGGTAATGTGCACATTAACGGCTTCCGTATCGTTAAAGTTCAGAAGTTTGTTTCTCTCATTTCCGTTCCCTACACCTTCCCCCTCTCCCTCCACTTTTAGTTTGTTTTTGCCAGTGTCTTTGTCCCTGCTGTAGAAATATATTTACGTCAAACAGCAATAAAACAATCCCTTGGTACTGGGCAGGGTTTCAGAAAATGTGACTGCAAATCTAAATGTACACCAAATAGGTGTGTTTGTCGCAAAAAATAAAAAATTGCTATGTAATTCAAAGTGTCACCAATCTTTAGATTGCACTAATAAGTAAGCATAATTTTATCATATGTATCGCAAAATTAATTTCCTTAATTGTAATTATATTTTATTATTATATTTATTATATTTCTATTTCTATTTATTATTATATTTATATTTATTAGTATTAATATTTTATTATTATTTATATGTTTTATTATTATCAACTAATATAAAGAACATTATGTTAATTTAAGCGTACAGAAACGTTGCTATTGTTCCAGCAAAGATCTTATTTTTACTTTAACGAGTGCCTAGTAGGTAATGTACAGAGTATCTAGGTAATTTGCAGATTACCTAGGTAATTTGAGAAATGAAACAATTTTCGTCACTTTAACGGATCATCCTACTTAATCTGCACATTACCTAGATAATCTGTAGAATAACTGATTTCTGCACTTTAGCGGTTACATATACAGGGAGTGCAGAATTATTAGGCAAATGAGTATTTTGACCACATCATCCTCTTTATGCATGTTGTCTTACTCCAAGCTGTATAGGCTCGAAAGCCTACTACCAATTAAGCATATTAGGTGATGTGCATCTCTGTAATGAGAAGGGGTGTGGTCTAATGACATCAACACCCTATATCAGGTGTGCATAATTATTAGGCAACTTCCTTTCCTTTGGCAAAATGGGTCAAAAGAAGGACTTGACAGGCTCAGAAAAGTCAAAAATAGTGAGATATCTTGCAGAGGGATGCAGCACTCTTAAAATTGCAAAGCTTCTGAAGCGTGATCATCGAACAATCAAGCGTTTCATTCAAAATAGTCAACAGGGTCGCAAGAAGCGTGTGGAAAAACCAAGGCGCAAAATAACTGCCCATGAACTGAGAAAAGTCAAGCGTGCAGCTGCCACGATGCCACTTGCCACCAGTTTGGCCATATTTCAGAGCTGCAACATCACTGGAGTGCCCAAAAGCACAAGGTGTGCAATACTCAGAGACATGGCCAAGGTAAGAAAGGCTGAAAGACGACCACCACTGAACAAGACACACAAGCTGAAACGTCAAGACTGGGCCAAGAAATATCTCAAGACTGATTTTTCTAAGGTTTTATGGACTGATGAAATGAGAGTGAGTCTTGATGGGCCAGATGGATGGGCCCGTGGCTGGATTGGTAAAGGGCAGAGAGCTCCAGTCCGACTCAGACGCCAGCAAGGTGGAGGTGGAGTACTGGTTTGGGCTGGTATCATCAAAGATGAGCTTGTGGGGCCTTTTCGGGTTGAGGATGGAGTCAAGCTCAACTCCCAGTCCTACTGCCAGTTCCTGGAAGACACCTTCTTCAAGCAGTGGTACAGGAAGAAGTCTGCATCCTTCAAGAAAAACATGATTTTCATGCAGGGCAATGCTCCATCACACGCGTCCAAGTACTCCACAGCGTGGCTGGCAAGAAAGGGTATAAAAGAAGAAAATCTAATGACATGGCCTCCTTGTTCACCTGATCTGAACCCCATTGAGAACCTGTGGTCCATCATCAAATGTGAGATTTACAAGGAGGGAAAACAGTACACCTCTCTGAACAGTGTCTGGGAGGCTGTGGTTGCTGCTGCACGCAATGTTGATGGTGAACAGATCAAAACACTGACAGAATCCATGGATGGCAGGCTTTTGAGTGTCCTTGCAAAGAAAGGTGGCTATATTGGTCACTGATTTGTTTTGTTTTGTTTTTGAATGTCAGAAATGTATATTTGTGAATGTTGAGATGTTATATTGGTTTCACTGGTAATAATAAATAATTGAAATGGGTATATATTTGTTTTTTGTTAAGTTGCCTAATAATTATGCACAGTAATAGTCACCTGCACACACAAATATCCCCCTAACATAGCTATAACTAAAAACAAACTAAAAACTACTTCCAAAAATATTCAGCTTTGATATTAATGAGTTTTTTGGGTTCATTGAGAACATGGTTGTTGTTCAATAATAAAATTAATCCTCAAAAATACAACTTGCCTAATAATTCTGCACTCCCTGTATATATATATATATATATTTATGTAGTTTTGTGCTGCTATTTATCCAGTTTTACTACTTAGCATGGTATCATAGTTCATTATAGTTTCTTCCCCTTAAATAACTCCTGTAAAAAAAAAGAAGTAATAAACATGGACAAATAATGATGATAGTTCAAATGAGGGAAAGGTGAAGTTACATCCACTCAGGAGAATAACTGTTTTTTTTAAACTGCTCCTGAGTTCAAAAACTACACCCAGGAGGTGGTTTATAGACTGAGACAGACACAGAATCAGTTCACTGAATGTGAAAGCCAAGAGTTAGGCAATACTGTCCTTACCTTTTTGTGTCATTTTACCCCACTCCCTCTAGCATGTAAGCTCATTGAGCAGGGCCCTCAACCCCTCTGTTCCTGTGTGTCCAACTTTTCTGGTTACAACTACATGTCTGTTCGTCCACCCATTGTAAAGCGCTGCGGAATTTGACAGCGCTCTATAAATATCATAATAATAATAATAACACTCCAGATGTTGTGGACTACATCTCCCATTATGCTCTTACACCCATAATACTGACAAAGCATTATGGGAGGTGTAGTCTTAAACATCTTGAGAACTGATGGTTGACTACCCCTGCATCTTGCAGCACTTTGAACCAGCAATTGGACTTCATAACTAGTTCTCTTCTTTGTATTTATGTTTTATATGTATTTATATGTTTTACTGTTACATTTTACATAATTGTTGATATCAGTGTGCTACTAAGGTTCTTTTTAGATTCTTTTTAGATTCTCGAAGGAAGCACTTATACTCTGGGAGTCCTTATTTGTGTAACCTTTCTACACAGATTTATTAAATACACAGGGCTGAATTCCAGTGGGTTCTGGTCCAAGTGAGATGGTATTTGCATTACATTTAAGAATAGCACATGCGTTCCTGTAAATCTGTGTATTCCCTTGCTCTCTTGATGCACCTGGAGGTCCACTCTGAAACTGAGGATCTAGGTGACTCTGAATGAGAGGTATCATCTATACAAGAGCACTGAAGGATCCTCAGCTTGAGCCAAGTGTCAGTGACTGAATGTTGTGAGTGATTTTTCATCCCATTAATATATGTTGCTTTCCCATGTGAAAACATTAGATTGGCTAAGATTGTCAATTCTGATGATCTTAGCCAAGGAGGTGGGTGACGGAGCCAAGCGACCCGCTGGCCAATTAGCATCTCCTCATAGAGATGTATTAAATCAATGCATCTCTATGGGGAAAGTTCAAAGCCTCTATGCAGAGGGTTACTAGTGGCCGTCTGAGTATCTGCCACTCGAGGTGTCCCTACGAAGCAATGTAAACACTGCCTTTTCTCTGAAAGGCACTGTTTACATGAAAATGCCTGCATTGGCTGACTATCTTTACCAGAACAACTACATTAAGGTATAGTAGTTCTGGTGAATGTAGTGTCCCTTTAATAGGTAGATGCACTTACAAGAAAAAGCATAACAAACAGCCCAAATTCATGAAAAACTTAAATAATAAAATAAACTTTAAAAATAATGAAAAAGGATACAAACATTGTAAAGAAATCTATATGAAAAAATATTAAAAAATATATGAAATATATACAAATATATAAACTATACAAAAATATATATAAAAAAGCATGATGGCATGTCCTTAACAATACTAGATAAAAAAAAAAAACATAATGAAATACCTGAAAACAAAGAAAAAAAGAATGTAAATCAATATAACACAAAAATAAAAAATATATAAAATGAAAAAATGACAAAACAAACAACTAAAAGGAGAGACACAGTTAGGTGAGACCCATAAGATCTATATCCCGATTAAGACTTAAATTAGGGTCTTCACACTATAGATCCACTGTGCTTCTTTGGAAGCTGAACCATTTAAAACAAGGGTAGGAATTACACTGTTGAGGTACACTGTGGTCAGTCTTATTTTTACTTATGTTATTAAATTGTTCAAGCACTGACGTACATACCGCGGTCGTAGGGGTTGCAGCTGCGATCGGGCCCATCACTCCAGGCCCTGCCATCATCATTTGCGTCCCTGTCCCGTGCAGCAAACTGCCGGGGCCACCGTCCAAGGGGTCCATCGGGTGGCCCATGCTGTCAGGGCCACCCAATGGAGATGAATTGTCAGGGGGCCCGGTCAGCGCTGGGCACTTTAACAGCCCAACTGGGCCCCCTGTGATGAGATCATCACTGCTGGGAGGAAGTGACTGCATGTCACTCTTCTCAGCTAACACATCAATAATATGTGTGTATGTGTCTTTGTATGTATGTGTGTCTTGTGTGTGCCTGTCTGTATGTATGTATGTGTGTGTGTCTTGTGTGTGCCTGTCTGTATGTATGTATGTGTGTGTCTGTCTGTATGTGTCTGTGTCTATCTGTCTGTATGTATGTATGTATGTGTGCCTGTCTGTATGTATGTATGTATGTATAAGCCTCTGCTATTGTGTACATAGTTTATATTAAGTGACCCATAGGTTGAGGAGTCGGTGACCGTAGCGGTGTATGTTGAAGTAGTGGTGGAGGAAGAGAATGTAGCCAACACTGTTTTTTATATATATATTTTTTTTTAATTGGGGTAGCCCCCAAAATATTTGGACATATAAAAAAAAAAAAAACATTTGCGGCCTGCTGTGCATTTCTTGCAGTCCTGATGCATGGAGAAATGTTCAACTCCTGATGCATGGAGAAAAGGCCTTCACAAGCCTCGGCTATTGTGTACATAATTTATACTAAGTGACCCATAGGTTGAGGAGGCGGTGACCATGGCGGTGTAGGTGGAAGCAGTGGTGGAGGAGGAGGAGGTAGCCAACACTGTTTTATATATATATATTTTTTAATTGGGGTAGCCCCCAAAATATTGGGACATATAAAAAAAGAAACATTTGTGGCCTGCTGTGCATTTCTTGCAGTCCTGATGCATGGAGAAATGCTCAACTCCTGATGCATGGAGAAAAGCCTTCACAAGCCTCTGCTATTGTGCACATAGTTTATACTAAGTGATCCATAGGTTGAGGAGGCAGTGACCGTGGCGGTGTAGGTGGAAGCAGCGGTGGAGGAGTAGGAGGTAGCCAACACTGTTTTTTTATATATATATATTTTTTATTTTCATTGGGACATATAAAAAAAAGAAAACTCTTCCGCAGAGCGACTGGCCCGTGCGTGCTGTATCTGAAACTCCACTATCGCCTGCTGCTGCTCGCACAGTCTCATGAGGCAGTGAGCGGGAAGGCCGAAGTTAAGCTCCAGCGCAGAAAGGCGAGCAGCAGCAGGGTGAGAACACCAAAAGCGCGCACAGACGGCCCGCACTTTGTGCAGCAGCTCTGATATATCTAGGTATACACCATGGCATCATAAGGGCCAACCAGAACTGGCTCAACTCCCATCAAGCCAAGTTCCTGGAGAAGATCACCCAGCTCGTCATGCTAGAGCACTTTTTCAATGTGCTCCCCAACGAGAAGGCGACGACGCATTCGTATGTCAATCCATACCAACTTTCGATGTCATTGACTGCGCCTACCATGTTGACCATGGGTAATGAGGAATCAGGGTTCGATTCCATACAGGGACCCTGACAAACGGCTACCACATGCAAGGAAGGCAGCAGGCGCGTAAATGACCCACTCCCGATGTGGGAAAGTAGTGATGACAAATAACAATACAGGACTCTTTAGAGGCCCTGTAATTGTAATAAGTCCACTTGAAATCCTTTAACTCTGATCAATTGGAGGGAAGTCTGGTGTAGAACCACTGACCCGTGCGTGCTGCAGCTGAAACTCCACTATCGCCTGCTGCTTCTCAAACAGTCTCTCCAGCATGTGCAAAGTGGAGTTCCACCTTGTGGGCACGTCGCATATGAGGCAGTGAGCGGGAAGGCCAAAGTTACGCTGCAGTGCAGACAGGCGAGCAGCAGCAGGGTGACAACGCCAAAAGCGTGCACAGCCGCTACAGTGAATGTCACATCCTGTTCCAAGTTGCAGATCAGTCTAGTGATGGCTTCTGGTATCCGGTACTCTTTTTACTGAAGCTGCATCAGGGTCCTGGTATGTGGCCGCACAAACGCTGGTTCTCAACACCAGGAGTCGTGCGGTTACCCTGCACCAGACCCTGCTAATCCATTCCACACTGTGACTCCTAACTTCTACATTAGGCATACTGGGTCCCGGTCGTCCGACCGCCGCCCAGACAGTGTCTGGGTGCTGGTCACCGGACTGCGAATGGCTTGTTAAATCTGTTATGGTTCTTTTTATCGCTTCAACTGCTATTTGGATAACTGTGGGAATTCTAAAGATAATACATGCGAACGAGCGCTAGGGGATGGCCGCTCCGCTTTTGCACCCTGCTCCCTCTTATGCTGTGCTGGTGCCTCTGTGCGACCAGCGCCTCTTCCTCCAAACTGCACACATCACTCGCATGACCTTGATTCCATGTGGGGTCTAGGACCTCATCATCCTCCACATCATCTTCCACCCATTCCTCAACCTTGCCCTCCTTGCCGGTATGCACACTGCAGAAAGCCACAGCAGTTGGCACCTGTGTTTTTCCAGCATGTAAAGTCTGCAAAGGACATTTGGAAAAAATTTTACAATTGTATCCAGGCAAAAGTTTTCCCTATAAACTGACCTCTCAGTTTGACTTGTGAGGGTATTGCCACAGAATTACAATATTGTTTAAGTACATCTTAGCTATTGATAACTGGTTTAAATATAACAGCTTATTATCTGGTAGTTTCTAGAGTAGAAAATATTAATCTGTTTTCTATCACTTAGATGTGTGTAACAAGTGTTGTAGGTGTGAAACAATATGACAAGTGGCCGATGTATTAAATTCGAATCAAAGTTATGCTTCTGTTTGCCTCTCGGATATAAAGTGCACCACAGGCCGCAAATGTACTATTTTGCAGATTAGCAGGAAAACAATTAGAATGTTTACCACTGCTCAGTAAGCACACTATTAGATGCTTCTATTTGACTCTCAGATATGAAGAGCAGGCCCCCAAATATAC